TAAAAATAATAATCTTAAAATCCCATTTTAGAGGATGAACCGTTTTTCTAATAAAGGTCAATTAATACAATTAATCTTAACAGGTTGTTGTCTTTATAAATCTGATTATTTTTGCTATTTAAAGGAAGAGCCGAGGCTGGATGTGCTCATCAATAATGCGGGGATATTCCAGTGTCCATACATGAAGACAGAGGATGGTTTCGAGATGCAGTTTGGTGTCAACCACTTGGGTCACTTCTTGCTCACTAACCTCCTCCTTGGTCTTCTCAAAAGTTCTGCCCCAAGCAGGATTGTGGTAGTTTCTTCCAAACTTTACAAATATGGAGAGATCAACTTTGAAGACTTGAACAGTGAAATAAGTTACAATAAAAGTTTTGGCTACAGTCGGAGTAAACTGGCAAACATACTATTTACAAGGGAGCTAGCTCGCCGATTGGAAGGCACAGGTGTCACTGTGAATGTGCTTCATCCTGGTATTGTCCGAACCAATCTAGGCAGATATATAAATATTCCTTTGCTGGCAAAACCCCTCTTTAATTTGGTGTCATGGGCTTTCTTCAAAACCCCATTGGAAGGAGCCCAGACTTCTATTTATTTGGCCTCTTCTGCAGAAGTAGAGGGTGTATCAGGCAAGTATTTTGGGGATTGCAAAGAGGAGGAATTGCTGCCTAAAGCCATGGATGAGTCTGTTGCAAGAAAACTGTGGGATATCAGTGAAGTGATGGTTGGATTATTAAAATAAATGCTTGGGGGGTGGGGAAAGGCTTACTGAAAAGAATGAATATAACTAATACTTTGCCATCATGACATTTTCTGCAGTGGTATCTCCCCTTTCAGTGGTGTGAAACACAAATTTACTTTGTTCATAGATTTGAAAAGTTGCTCGAGTAATTTGTACAGCTCTCTTAAACCTATATTGGAAAAAATACAGAGGCAGACTGTTGGTTTATTTTTTTTATCATTAAATTGCTTTGGAAAGCTACTTGTTCTACAAATAAGTTCTTTGCTATGGAATGTATATGCTTGTCTTCCACTGTGATGTCAAACATAAAATTGAACTGTATTGTACATGAAATACATGGCTGTTTGCTGTTTTTCTTGTAGGTTTCGTAAATCTTTCCAAAAGGGTTAGTGAACAATTCATGCAATTTTAGCATGGATAATTCCACCAGGGACTTGAGCTCTTTTCCACTGTAATCTTCTAAGCTTCTCACAAATGTTTCATAGAACAAAGACTTTCCACAACTACATGATATTGGCTACCTTGAACAGGAACTATATCAAGCCATATTACAACTCATAAGTCAGATATTTTTCACGGTGATCTGTCTTCCATTTATTTGATATATCAACTTGTCAAGCAGGTTCTCTTTCATTTGAGCCAAACCTGTTCTTTTGCAGATATAGATCAGGTCCATAAGCCTCAATGCATTAGGCTCAATGTAATATGGCCAACAGGTCTTCCTGGTAGCTTCTGTGTAAATGCTCATTTTCTTAGCCCTACTAGTGTATAAACTGTAAAAATGTGATCAATAAACTTTTACACAAAGTTGACAAAAATAGCATTGGCAGCTATCCTACAGAGGTTTGGAGAGTCTACTATAAAGAGATGATAGAATTAAAGTAAGCCAGAAATAAATCTAGGAAAATTACATGAAAATGACTCCTTCATTGTTTATAATAAATTCAGTAACTGTTTCTTGTTAATTATGATTTGTTAGTTTTTTAAGTAATTATATTTAACACTACCTTTATATTTCTTTAAAAAATAATTTTACCATTAATTGGAAGTACTCTGGGGTCTTGATTACTACAGGGTGGACCTCTCTGGTTCACCACCCTTGGGACCTGACAATCCTGCATGAGGGATTTTGCCAGACCAGGGGAGGTCATATATGGTCCATCTGACACCTCTCCCTATGACACAAAAATGCTTTTTTATAAATAATACTGAGAACCATCCCCTAGAGAGGATGGATATGATTAGAGAATAAACAAGTATTCAACCTGTGAAGTACTGTTTTACATTTATCCTGAGTCTTTCATGTAAAACAATCCCCAAATGACTATATGAAATACCATTGAAATGCAAGCCGGGTTGGAGTGAAAAGCATCAGCCAGCTACCAGGCAGCATAGTGCTCGGGCAAGGGGAAGTTTTGACCAACTGCATAGGGCACAATCTTTTAAAAAAAACAAGATAGATTCTCTCAAATTGTTACAGGCCAGAAGATACTTTAGAACTAAAGGTAAAGTAAATAGGACTCAAATTTATTATCTGAGATCTGCTTTTCCATTGCAACTCCCATCCACAACTGTGTGCATGTTATAAGAAAGTCATGGATGTGTATTGGGGCATAGCTTGCAAAGAAAAGTGCCATGTTCAAATAATTGATCATCTTTCTATACATACCTGCAGTTCATGTGAGAATAATTTGGGCGGTGAAGTTGCATAAAGAGCAGAATCTGTATAGTGTTCCAGGTGAAATTACTAGCATATGCCAGAGCAACCTCAGGAAAAGCAAAGGTAAAGCTGAGTGAAGGTAAGATGCTGTAATTATCAAACACTGACCATAGGGTGTGATAATTTGACTTATTGCAGAAAGGAGATCTTTTTGTCTGCTCAGAACTGGAAGCAAGTGAGAATACTCTGGATATATTTGCTGTGTGGCTCAGATGAGACCGTGTTTATCATGTGTATGTAAAATACCTGAAAAAGAAAAGTCCTGTCAAAGGTGAATTGGTGTGCCTTGGAAACAATAGTGCAAGCTTCCTTCATCTGCACTAGAGCTGACTTTAATCTGCTGCCTATGAGGTTGACGGTTTAGTTCAGGCTGTGTGATACTGAGTTGTGGTTTCTCTTTGGAGACTACTGAGAGAGAGTGTTGGTTTTGATGTGAGCAACTGGACAGATGTCAGCCAAAGCCTTTGTCCTTCAGAAAATGAATTATCCTCAGCCCTGGATCAGGACCCTAGAAGCTATATGAAAGTACTTCAAAAAGTAGTTTTTCCTGCCTGAATTTGGGTTTGAATCAGCAATCTGGAGGTGAAAGGTTCCACACATCCCATTCCAAATTCCCTGAGCTTTCAATGGAAAGCTTCAGAGAAGTGGCCAAGTTAGTCTGTAACTGGAAAAGTTTAAAAAACAACTAATAATCTTGCAGCATGTTAAAGACTAACAAAATATGTAGATGGTATCATGAGCTTTTGTAGGCACAACCCACTTCTTCAGATAGTTGTTTGGGGCAACTTGGTACAAGTGACTAAAGTTCCAACATGCCCTCACCTGAATTAAGAATGAGGGCAGCATAACTAAGCTGAGGACTAACAGAGGTGCGCAGAACCAAAGAACAGTGTGTTGAGTCCAGGACTGCAAAGTTAGAGGTAGAAAAGTTTTCCAGGAAATGCAGATATCTCATTACTACAATACATATAATAGCTTTCAGCTGAGTTTGGGGTCATATTGTGATAGGTGCCAAGCATCTACATAGAAAATCTCAAGGTTACAATCAAATGCCTTCTGCTAAGTGGCTTACAATCAGAATAGACAAGGCAGGCAAAGATTGGGCTAAAAAAAAAAAACCATTTTCAAGAGGAGAGAACAGGCAATAAGACTTTAAAGGAGAACATTTCTAAAGTACATAAGTGGTAATTCTGCACCTTAATTCCTAGGCACAGGCAAGTTTGAAAATTTTCCTAAGGGTATTTCTACACAGCAGGCCTAAATCCAAAATAAACTATGCAACTTGAGCTATGTCGGTTGTATAGTTTAAGTCGAAATAAGTTATTTCAGATTTTGGCACCATCTACACAGCAGGAAGTCTGAGAGAGAGAGCACTCTTCTTCCAACTTCCCTTAATACTCATAAAATGAGGGTTACAGGAGTCAGAGTAAGTAGTCCTCCAGCTGGACATTATTTGAACATTATGTTGAAATAACTGCTTGTGTGTAGATGCAGACTGTTATTTTGGAATAACAATTATTCCGAAATAACGCTGCTGTGTAGATGTACCCTAAGAGATTTGCGCAAGGTCAGACTGGCAGAACGGAACTTCAATATTCCTAAGGGCAGTCTGGTACCCTAATCAGTAGACCATCCTTCTTATCAAAATGGTTATCTGCAAATTAATTTGCCACCAGCTTTTGTTATTTGCAAACTGTTTACATATTAAAGAAAAAGTACACAAGAAAATACCAAGTAATTATCTCTTGGGACACACACATTGTATGAAGTCCCAAAATCTACCACTTAGGAGGCAGGTATACATATCATGAGTCTTCCAGTACAAATTGTCCATCTTAATATGAGCTAAATGATCAGTTTTTCCCATGATGCAATGAAAAAATATTTAAACTCTCATTTCATTCTTTTATGTTTGCTTAGTTTGCCCATGTAAGTTTTCTACTATAAAAAGTATCACAGACTTCAAAGCCTGGATCCTGTGAGGGCATGACGGGATTTTGCAACTGGATAGTTCTCAGTTTAAGTACATTTGATTTATTTTCACCTCAGGCCATAAAGAAAATAAACAACTTGTAAAAGTTGTTCATATAATTTTAGTGTGCAAGGCCTGTTCCCCTTTTCATATACATTTTCCCAAGCTAATCTTGAAGGGGCTATTTGGCAAAAAGATCCAGGAGGCCTAGAAAACAATCATTTTTGATGTGTCTCAGAGTGGAGCTGCTATTTCTCATAACAGAAAAAAAAAAAGTCTCCCTACAGACTTCTTACCTCAGCTACCATCATTGCCCTCGCACCTGTTGTGACTGGACTCAAATTTGAGAGCTTAAATATTTGAATATTTAATTGATTCAAAATGTTCTAAACAACGCGGTGAAGAAAGGATGTTTCTAATCATCCTTCAAAAAGGCTGTCACACTAGCTGTCTAATAATGTTAACAAACCTCTCCTTCCAGTTGGAATTTTTTACTTATTAATAGAACCCTGCAAATCCATGGATCTCTGCTTTATATCCACGGGTATCTGCATCCAGATCAGATGTGGATACAAACACCTAGGGCTCATTTTTGCGAATACAAAAGTTTGTATCCGTGCAGGCCTCTCCTTATTAAATATTTGCAGATAAAATGAAGGAGACTTACTGTAACTAGAAGTCTCAGTTACAATGGTCAGATGGCCTGCATGCCATGAATTCTGCAATGTACTGAGGTAATATCTTTTCTTGGACAAATTTAATGGCAAAAGAGATGTTTAGCTCTTCAGTTGGCTGAAATTGAGCTGACTATGAAACTCAAAAGCTTGTCTCTTTCACCTACAGAGGTTGGCCCAATAAAAACTACCTCAATCACCTTGTCTATCTGACATCCTGGCATAGTATAAAAACACTAAAGCAACAATGAAAGCTGCAAACGTGAGCATTAGGCTTAAAATACAGCCCAATTCTGCAAGGTTTGCCTGCTGCCTGGGATACTAAACTCCCGGGATGAAATTCTGGCCCTTTTGAAATCTGATAATTTTGCAGTTGGGCCAGATTTCACTTCTCATTCACTTAAAGTGGAGTCAGTGGACATTCAAGTGTGACTCTAAGCATTGTAGGATGAGGCCATTATACTCCTTAGAAGTCTATGTGCCCAGGTTCCCTCCTGCTCACTTCTGTGTTAGAAACATTAAGTTTTGGGCAGATTAATGTGCATGTCCCTTTCCAAAAAGACTTTACAATCCAAGTCTTTATTATATGGACATTAAAGATTCGAAGGCATTTTCTGTAAGAGTGAGGGTCCTCCACTTGATTATCCTTTGCCAATATTATTACCTCCAACTTTCTGTTGCTCTGTGAGTCAATTCTCGAGTTAGCTACTACTCTCCATCCATGCCAGAGATGACGGAAGGTCAGTGGTGAGTGAAGTGATTCCTGCATATGAAGGGCCCAATGCTATAACCATCATCCTGTAGTTCTATGGGAGCCCAAGTGACTCTGTGTGCGAATAGAGATTGTTGTAGGGTGAGATGCATGTGGATAACAGGGGCTTCAGCACATACATTGAAGATGAACAGCTACATTTCCAAAGGTTTAATTGATTTAACTTAATAGGGTTCTTGAGACAACCCAGCCTGATTTTCTGAGATGCTGAATACCTAAAATGTCAGTTGAAGTCAACAGAAGGTACAGTTGCTCAAAACTCCCATTGGCAGAAAAACGTTGAATTCCAAAGTTTCTCAGTGAAAAACATAAGACTTTTTTGTGTGAAAAGTTTTGCATTTTTTCCATATGTATCCATGGTCATGTGTTGTTAATTGTATTCCAGTAACATTAAGGCTCCCACCAAGCCTGGGGCCAAGGCACAGTAGAAGCAGACTAGGAGATGATGTATTGTCCTTTGTAATCACAAAACAAAGGCAACAGTGGTGTCCCCGTAAGCATATTTGGAACAAAGGTTAAGTTCTATCAAACTACTTTGCCTTTTGAATTTATTTATTTAAATAGTGAGCTTATGGACACTTATTATTTTAAAAAGGGGTTAAAACATCTGGGAAAATGTAAATGGTCATTGCTTCAACAAAACAGGAACACTGTTGCTGTGGAAAACACATAAAATGACAGGAAATGGCTTAATGGGGAGGTGTTCAATTTTAAGGATTTTGTTGACAGAAGTTGATGAGTGAAAATATTGTATTCAATAAGGACCATGGAATTTTGATGCAGCCTAGAGGGACAGCTTTGTACTATGGTGGTCTAAATTGGGATTTTACATTAATGTAACCAATCAGAACCCTTGTTAAAGCTAGAGTCAAAAGGGAAGACTGAGCAAAGGCACCACAAAGTTTATCTTTTGCTCATCTGGAAGAGTTTATTTTAAAAACAGAACATTGTTTGCTGCTGTTGAAATGAAAGTGTGAGAGTTGCGGCTTTCTTCTGATGCCATCTGGCAGATGATTTACTGGTGTATGGTATTCACTAATCCAAATAACCCTGTGTGTGGTAACCATTGTCTCTGTACTGATTATGCAGCTGGGTTAATTGAACTTTAGAGGGCTCACGCAATACTATCAACAGTGGTAGTGTAGATAATTTAAAATTAGCATAGTGTTAAGGAAATGTATATGATATAGAACATACCTGCCAAATTCATGGTGTTTTTATTAAGAATCCTCCCTTTTATTGACACTAATTCAAATTGTTGTATGCAGTATAATTGTAGCCGTGTTGGTCTCAGGATATTAATAAAAGATATTACCTCACCCACCGTGTCTCCCTGTATTCATATCAACATTTTGCCTCAATTCTGTAGTCTTAATTCACCACATAAATGCTCGTTCCATGCAGATTACTTAATTGAAATCAATACCAACATAACCTTAGAATAACACATTCGTGTATTGGACTTACTGCTTACCATTCACAATGCTTTCTCCTTTCGATTTGTTTAATAGTTTTGTTAATTATATAGTTCAGTTTTTTGTTATACCTAAGAATTGAGTAAATATGGAAGAATCACATACCTAGTGTTAGGAAGTGGACTTTTCTGCTATCAGTTTGATTGCAAATAGGACAAGAACACAATGTGGAAAGGTGGGAAATAGAATTCATTTTCCCTTCTTTTGGCATTGGGTTTGAATTCATTACATTCAAAGTTTAAGGCCAGATCCTCCCCAAGCTGGTGCAGTGACAGGGAGCAGAAGCACTGTTCATCAGACCCCATGCTGTAGATTTTTTGCTCACTTCACGCATTCTTCACAACAGACTGGTGAAAGTGGGGGGAGGAGAAAGGTGTTACTTCATTTGTCCACTGAGCAGACGTATCTCTAACTCACTATCCTATCTGCTCATGGCCTACTTTTTGAATGGTTTAGGACTAGACAACCTTTAAATTGCAGATGTGGTACATGGGCTTGAAAGGCTGAGGCTTTTTCCTGCAGCCATATTGTAAGATCTGAGGGTTTTCTCTGCCTGCCACACTGGGAGAGCAGCAGCCATGAGCCAAGAAGCAGAAAGTCATGTCCTCACATTCCATGTAAATTACATTTAAACAATGTAGGATTTGGTCTTAAGAAGGTGATCCTGTCCTGATAGTACCCACCATCACCACATAAAGAAACAGATATTAACATACTTAATGAAAATGAGGATAGCATTCTGTCTGTCAAGAAATCACTTATCAACAGTTGGGACTGTAAAATCCCTACCTGTTTATTATTTTATATTTATGGTCCCCACTTCTTTGTTGTTTATCCATATGGTCTTTGTCTGGTTCTTTGTTTCTGTCTGTTGCATAACTAATTTTGCTAGGTATAAATCTACTATGGTGGTAGGGTATCATTGGTTAAAGAATTGTTTTACAATATGTTAAGGTTGGTTAGAAATATTGCTTATTAATGTTTTAGTAAAGGGATTGGTTACAGTGCAACTAAGTAGCATTCAAGTTTCACTGTAGAAACTGGAGCCCAAAAAGAAGTTCTTTTGAAACCAACTTTAAGACACAACCCAAAGTTGCCAAACCTCAACGCCTTGCTAGTTACACCATGCAGAAGCTGGTGTTCCTGGATGACCTATCTGACCTTGACTGGCCACCAGGAAAAGTTCATCTGCTTTATTGGGAATGCTAAGCATAGTATGCTTAGTGTGTGCATTAAGTTTTGGTGATT